ACAGAGGCCCGAGTTGCTTCAGGATGGGTTAAATGCCGTAGACAAAGTTCCCTGCGGCGATAGATAAAGTGCACTTTTGTTTTACTCATTTGTGCAATAATAAGTTGAATAATGTCAGAATGTGCAATATGGAACCACATGTGTCCACTGTCACTTTAGGGTTTGTCACTTTGTCTCAGACCCTGAAGCTGCTAACTTTGTTTCACAGCAAGAAGGTTCTGGGTTCAATTCCACCTCCAGGCCTTTCTGTGCAGAGTTTGCATGTCCCCCCCTCGTCTGCGTAGGTTTCCTCCAGGTGCTCCGGTTTCCCCTACCTCTAAAAACAATCTGAATGTAGTGAGTGAGTCAATGATTGGGGCCAGTGTTTATCGGCGTCTCGCTTCCGTCATCATCGTGTGGAGAGAATGGAATAATATCTAAACTCTGAACAAAGTAAAGCACTTGTATAATGTGTTATATAACTAAACATTAATTACTTATTACTTATTACCATACATACAACTTTATATATTTTTTGCTCGAGAATTTACAGTATTGTTGCTTCTTTATTAGATTTCGTACTTAATTCTTGCTTATTTTCAATGCTAAAGTTGAACATTTTAGACTTACTTCATTGTTATGCTAAAGCTAGATATTTTAGACTTGCTTCTTAGTTATGCTAAAGCTAATAGCATCTAGCTTTTTATTATGCTAAAGCTATATATTTTATTCTAGCTTCTTTATTATGCTAAAGCTAGAGATTTTATACTAGCTTCTTTATTATGCTAAAGCTAGAGATTTTATACTAGCTTCTTTATTATGCTAAAGCTAGAGACTTTATACTAGCTTCTTTATTATGCTAAAGCTAGAGATTTTATACTAGCTTCTTTATTATGCTAAAGCTAGAGATTTTATACTAGCTTCTTTATTATGCTAAAGCTAGAGATTTTATACTAGCTTCTTTATTATGCTAAAGCTAGAGATTTTATACTAGCTTCTTTATTATGCTAAAGCTAGAGATTGTATGTTATGTTTTTGTAGTGTAGAGTTACTGTTCTCTTATCGTACACAGCTGTGTTTCTGTGACTTGTAAAGACTCATCTCTTCTTTGTTGTGACGAACAGTGTTGTAACAAAACGCAACAGAGACATACGCTCATGATTAAAACAACACTTGTTTGGTAATTTATCACACAACAGTCTGTGGTTGGTTGCAAAATATTTCTCATTATTCCAAAAACTAATTCCCAGACATTGTTGATGCGTAGAGAAAGTGTGTAGTGTGTGTTGTGCTGGTACTAGTCATTTTGGTGAACTCAAAGCAGAAATAGAATAACGGAATAAGCAGAACCGTTAGCGAAGTCATCCCACCTGCTGTTGTCACATTAACCTTATAATTAAATACGACGTCATAAGCAGTCGACCGATTCACTTTTGTTTTTTCTTCAGACTCCAAAGACCAATTACTTGACGGAACAACGGAAGGCCTAAAGCTGGAGTCTCCTGAAACTGATACAAGAATGGAACTCTGCAGCTTTTACTAGCAACGCAAAGCTCATCAAAGTGTGTTATATAGAAAATCAAAAAAGTCTTTCTAATCTTTTATTTTCTCAGTTTTGACAAATACGAAGTGATTGATATTGGATCATTCCCAAAGACAAACCTCTAAACACATGTCAAGTATAAATATTGGGACAAACCATGTGTTATCAATGAGTGCATGTAAAAGGCTGTTGTTTTAATGCTCAAATTAAGACACATTTTGCACTTTTTACAGTGAATAAAGTTTGTGACGCCAGCTTTATATGCTCTTGTTCCTTGCATTTAATCCTGTTTGGAAAACACTGGCATATATGGTATAGGGATATGACGTAGGGACATGGTATAGAGATATGGTATAGAGATATGGTATAGGGATATGGTATAGGGACATGGTATAGAGATATGGTATAGAGAAATGGTATAGGGATATGGTATAGGGACATGGTATAGGGACATGGTATAGAGACATGGTATAGAGATATGGTATAGGGATATGGTATAGGGATATGGTATAGGGATATGGTATAGGGACATGGTATAGGGACATGGTATAGGGATATGGTATAGGGACATGGTATAGAGATATGGTATAGAGATATGGTATAGGGATATGGTATAGGGACATGGTATAGAGATATGGTATAGGGATATGGTATAGGGACATGGTATAGAGATATGGTATAGGGATATGGTATAGAGACATGGTATAGGGATATGGTATAGGGATTTGTTATAGGGATATGTTATAGGGATATGGTATAGGGATATGGTATAGGGATATATTATATATTATTATCGTATAGAGATATGTTATAGGGATTTGTTATAGGGATATGGTATAGAGATATGGTATAGGGATATGTTATAGAGATATGGTATAGGGATATGGTATAGGGATATGTTATAGGGATATGGTATAGGGATATGGTATAGAGATATGGTATAGGGATATGGTATAGGGATATGTTATAGAGATATGGTATAGGGATATGTTATAGGGATATGGTATAGGGATATGTTATAGAGATATGGTATAGGGATATGTTATAGGGATTTGTTATAGGGATATGGTATAGAGATATGGTATAGGGATATGTTATAGAGATATGGTATAGGGATATGGTATAGGGATATGTTATAGAGATATGGTATAGGGATATGGTATAGGGATATGTTATAGGGATATGGTATAGAGATATGGTATAGAGATATGATATAGGGATATATTATATATTATTATCGTATAGAGATATGTTATAGGGATTTGTTATAGGGATATGGTATAGAGATATGGTATAGAGATATGATATAGGGATATATTATATATTATTATCGTATAGAGATATGTTATAAAGATATGTTATAGGGATATGTTATAGGGATTTGTTATAGGGATATGGTATAGGGATATATTATTGGGACATGGTATAGGGATATGTTATAGGGATATATTATATATTATTATCGTATAGAGATATGTTATAGAGATATGTTATAGGGATATGGTATAGGGATATGGTATAGGGATATATTATTGGGACATGGTATAGGGGCAGCTCTGGCATGTGGTGCTGCAGATGTACTAGGAGCACGGGGGGGGGGGGGGGGGGGGGGGATGAAGACTCGTCAGCTTTTGAACACGCCGCTCACCTCCTTCACTGCTAATGAATTGCTCGTTGAAGAAGCCCTGCGTTTCACCCCGGCCTCCTCCACCGTTAGCCGCGCTGCTGTAGCACAGGCCGCCGCACACCGAGAGCGCATTAAAGCAGACTGTAAAGCCTTCACTCCACAAGAGGCTTTCCGGCACTCTGTTTTTTTATGAATTAAAGATAGCTTCCTTGCTTACTCTCTCTCTCTCGCCTGGTAAACACTGTGTTTGGTGCATAATCAGCATACAGATTTATCCAAATGAGCGCTGTGGTGACTCCAAGATAATAGTTGAAAAGATCACGGGTTGGACCATTAGACAGTGAGGGAGGGTGAGGGAGGGGGTGGTCCCGGTGCGTCAGGCCTCCCTTACTGCCTGCAGAGAAGCACTTTGGTGTCAGACACAGATACAGGCAATGCACACAGTGATTCAAACACAATATCGTAATCTAATCTATAATATATCAAAGCAGCAGATCACATAAATAACTCACCATCTGTTCAATATTGCAATGGGATAATGCACTTTAAACTCTCTCCTTTTTATTTCCAACACATCGGGACTAACACCAATGGCTAAAGCTACATTTACTTATGCATAACTAACTTTAACCAACCTTGTGCTACATGGCAGAATTTCTGGATTTGCTTTGGTCACAGACACTTTTCTCGTTCATAAACCAAGCATAACTTTTCTGATAAATGTTCTGCCAACCGAAGGTGCTCAGCAGAAACTATTTTACTTAAAGCAGGTGTCTCCAACCTTTTTCACCCAAAGAGCTACTTTCCCGGGATGATGAAGGCAGAGAGCTACTCCTTTACGGCGGCACTGGGATGTATTGTCCTGAATAAGCCTAATATTGGGAATAGTCATTATTTATCATCACGTGATTCTTTCTAGATCACAAAGTAAATGCATTTACAATAATGAATATTGACAATGAACAATACAATCTGAAATATTAAGTGTACAGTATTATTTGATTCGTTAATTTCTAAATCCTTTGGCAAGCTACCTGGAAGGGGGTCATGAGCTACAGGTTGGAGACCCCTAACTTAAAGCAACAGTACAAACTATTTAGCTAAAAAAATCAATCTTGAATAATTTTACGGCATTGAAAAAAGTTTATCTGACCAACGTTAAGGTTAAGGCATACATTATTGTCCTTGAAGGGCTAAGCAGGGCGAGGCCTGGCTAGCACTGTGATGGGAGACCTGTGGGAACACCTGATGCCACAGTGGGACGGCTGTGGCTGTAAAGTGCCGATTTATGGTTGTGTCCTTGGGCATGACGCTTCACCCACATTAGAATGAGTCTGGTGTGTGTGTGAATGGTTGGTGGTGGTGGGAGGGGCCGATGACACAGACTGGTTGCCTCGCTTCTGTCAGTGAGCCCCAGGGCAGCTGTGGCTACAGTAGTAGTTTATCACCTCTGTGTACGGACTGAATGAATAATGACATCTAAAGCGTCTAAAGAGTCCAACCAAGCGCTGTATAAAACCAATGCATTATTATTATTATTATTATTATGACTTAAGGGAACAAATTTGGTGATTCAGTTTATTTCTGATGATTGATGCAAGTAGTAAAAAAATAACACAAAACTAAGAAATGCCCTGAATGGACACAAACACAGCCACAGTGAAAATGGCTCAATTATGCTGCTGTAAAGTGGTGTCCTGGCGCCTCCTCGCTGCATGGCTACTTTTGATTTGCCGAGTCCAATAATGCTGTTTTGATGGTCCTGTGGAGCCGGCCTGGTCTCGGACAATGCTCTCCTGGTGGACACTTAAACAAACCACAATTACAGGCCGCTTATTCCCGGGGAGCACCATGGGCCTTGGACAGGGGCTGGTCCTCCTCTGCCACTCTGCCACTTATGATGTAAGCGCCGATTATGGCCGACAAGACAATTCTGTATGTAAATGTGCTTTTCTTTTTTGTCAAAGCCATGTCCACAGCAGAGCGTGCTGACTGCGTGGCTGACTGTCAGTGAGTAAACACCAGAAATATGTATGTTAAGAGAAAAAAAGATGAGTTACTTTCCACCCGCCGTGAAAATAATTACATGTAATACATTTATTTTTGTGACAGTAACTTGGACTTCTACAAGACAAGTCAGTTTGTTTTTATAGCAGTGTTCTCACGCAAGGAAACTTTGATTTGAACTTTGTCAGAGAAAAATCTGAACTGCTGCCGGCCCATCTTTAGTCGTGACTCTGCGCACCAGCAGGAGGCCAGTCCCTGTGCTCCTCAGCCTCCCAGCATGAGGCCAGCAGGAGGCCAGTCCCTGTGCTGCCTAGAGTCCCAGCATGAGGCCAGCAAGAGGCCAGTCCCTGTGCTCCGCAGAGTCCCAGCAGGAGGCCAGCAAGAGGCCAGTCCCTGTGCTGCCTAGAGTCCCAGCATGAGGCCAGTCCCTGTGCTGCCTAGAGTCCCAGCAAGAGGCCAGTCCCTGTGCTCCGCAGAGTCCCAGCAGGAGGCCAGCAGGAGGCCAGTCCCTGTGCTCCCTAGAGTCCCAGCATGAGGCCAGCAAGAGGCCAGTCCCTGTGCTGCCTAGAGTCCCAGCATGAGGCCAGCAAGAGGCCAGTCCCTGTGCTCCGCAGAGTCCCAGCAGGAGGCCAGCAAGAGGCCAGTCCCTGTGCTCCGCAGAGTCCCAGCAGGAGGCCAGTCCCTGTGCTCCTCAGAGTCCCAGCAGGAGGCCAGTCCCTGCGCTCCTCAGAGTCCCAGCAGGAGGCCAGTCCCTGCGCTCCTCAGAGTTGGTTCATATGGCTCTAACATGTCACAGATGTACTTTGGTGCGAGGCCCTGGAGAGACAAACTGAGCAGCTTTAAAGTCTATTCTCTGAGCCACAGGAAGAATGATCTATTGCTACAAAGATTAGTTTTAGTCCCGACAATAATCCTTCACTCTTGAATAAAACAGTTGCAGGGTTAATTACATTTAGGAGTAAAATATGTTCCTAAAATTAAAATTAGATTTGCAGTTTCTGGGAAAGTTCTCAAAGTACACATTCAATTATTGGCGCATTAAAACCACGAAATATGCTAAAAGAATCTCCAGACAGAAGAGGTTCAGGTTAGAATAAAATGCTTGATGTTAACAGCGGAAAGTGTTGCTTAATTAAGGAGCCAATTACACAATCTACAGGCCGCACAAGCTTCGAGTCCATCCACAAAGGCACAGAATCACCGGGAGTCTTTGAGATCGTCAACCGTTCAAATTGATAGTTTTTGCTGCCATTTCATGTTGTTTAAGTGCTCCCATCAGAAGTACACTAGAAGTATAAATAGTTATAGATAGCAGCTGTATAATACCGAAAATGAAAGTCCCCATCCATCAGAACAGTGGCCTTTTGGAGCTTTGAGGCGGGCTCCGATCCACCCACTTCTCAGCAGCTCCTTGGATCAGCACAGTGCATAATGCATCAGACTGAAGGCATTCATCACTGTCCTGCTTTCAAATGAGGCAGGAGTCAACATTAGACACTGGTGTTTAGACAGCGGGGCACCACCTCCTGCGTTAATGAGTGCGCACACGTACTCCCCTTTGTCAGCGGTCGCGGTTCACCGTAACTGTGCACTTTATATCCTATTCATGGCTTTTTTCTAATGGTTTTATCTCTTCTTTTTGTTTTCATGGTCCTGTCCGGTTGATTCCACGGCTTGGCTCTTGCGACTTAAGGTAAGAAAGTACACGTTCAAATGTATAGGGTTGTATTAGGTCTCCTTATAAGCGCTTTGGATGACCGTGTTCTGTAAAAATGTGCCATACTTTGTAAATAAACATTACTTACTGACTTACTTGTGTTTAAGGCTTAGACGGTAGAGTAATGCTTGACTTCCACGTGTTTCGGGGGCGGTGGACTTGGTGTGATGTGTCTGTGATCAGCTGTTGTTACCGGATGCGGTCAGTCTCGGGAGAAGTGAGTCCCAAGTGTGGGTCAAGGTGAAGGCCCCCTCGGCTCTGTTCATGGTCCGTGCGCCCTGCTTTTTGGTTTCCATCGCCTCTCGTCAACATGTTTTACGTTTATGTTTCTCTGTTCCTACTGTTTGAGCTTTGTCCCAGTCCATCATGTGATTTTCTCTTCTGGGGTGGTCTGATATTGCCGATTTGAGGTTTTCCTGTGTTGGTTGTTCCTTAGTTGATCTTGCTAGTCGCTCTTCCGTTTTTTTTTTCTGGCAGGAGCAGTACTGTCTTCTTTACACTTTTGTCTTACTATGAAAACCTGCTTTTATTTATAATATGTTTTATTTATAGTTTGTGCCAATAGAAGGAATTAATACAATAATGGATTGCACTGCCCTTTAAACGAGACTGGATCCTCGTCTGTAACACATCCACCACATTTCCAAAGTCTTACATGCCTTTGCACTAATTCACTTTGGCCTGACCTCCATTACTTCATTGTCATATTCCACTGCAAATTGCTTTATGACCTGAAAGCGCTCGTGCTGTGAGTCTGGACCAGCGTCACTTCTGAGAAGTCCATGATTCATTCTGTCCATGTCAGAGCAGCTCTGGTCTCCACTGTTTAGTCTGCGCTGGTGTCTGCTCAAGGACTTTGTGCCAGCAGCAGATGTGGCGCAGAAAACTATTGGTGATTTTTCTCTGTTTCTGACCATTGTGAAAGTGATTATTTAAGAAACGTCATGTTTATTCTATTTTTACTTGTATAACTTAGTTTAAAAATTCCTACTTTGTGACTTCCTGTTACTCACAATAGCAATACAAATAGTTCTGGTTCTGATTCTGATTGTTATGGGCATCAGTGAGTTTATAGAGCACATGTATATTTATTGACAGAGAAAAGGCAAGAACTCTGCATGTATTCTGGAGCTCTAAACTTGATTTGCCCACCTTGTCCCTTTGTTTGTGATCACACATAACACATATTTTCTAACACATAAGTTCTACAACATGAAATGCCAAAATACTTCAAGATCAAGCCAATGGTTTCAATCAGTCAGAAGATCCACTTTGGGACATTTATTAACATTTTCAGTACATACATTGATCTTCCTGCTCCCTGTGGACCAATGGCTCCTGTGTGTTTGTCATTGCTGTGTTTGAACTCTTTGATTCACTGATCTGTTGTTGGGGAATTGACAACTTTGTCCTTCGAGACGGCTGCTGTTGTGATTTAGGCCGAGGTTACAGATTTGGTGTTTTCACATCTCAAGCGAGGACAAGAGGCCTAAAGTACAAGAGTAACTGGACAACACCTACTCAGCGAAAAATATACGGACTTGTGATTAATCAAGAAGTATCTGCTTGTGTGTGTGTGTGTGTGTGTGTTTGAGTGTGTGTGTGTGTGTGTGTGTGTTTGAGTGTGTGTGTGTGATTGTGCGTGTGTGTGTGTGATTGTGCGTGTGTGTGCGTGTGTGCGTGTGTTTGAGTGTGTGTGTGTGTGTGTGTGTTTGAGTGTGTGTGTGTGTGTGTGTGATTGTGCGTGTGTGTGTGTGATTGTGCGTGTGTGTGTGTGATTGTGCGTGTGTGTGCGTGTGAGTGTGCGTGTGCATGTGTGTGTTTGAGTGTGTGGTGCGTATGTGTGTAAGTGTGTGTGTGTGTGTTTGAGGGCATGACCCCGCACCCCTCCACCGTCTGCTGTTTCCACACCAGGACGCTGAGTGGGCGTGAGGGCGGAGCACCGGCCACATCAGATCACAGCTCTCTCCTCCTCCTCCTGCGTGATAACGAGCTGTCCAGCCCAGTGGGGGCGGGTCCCGGCTCAAAAGTGGCCAAACTGACGTGCGCTGACATGCTGCAGTACCACCCCGGGCCTGTGGGGGTGGACCCAGAATAAGAATTAGCCAATGCTAACATATAGCATCTTCTTACCTCTGGAAATCGTCTTTACAGGATGGACCAAAAGTTGTCTCTTGGCCCAAAGCTCCGTTCCACATGTGTGTCAATGCTGAGTGTTCTGGACCAGTCTAGTTTAGTCGCTGTGGACTTTAGAAGTCTCTCGTTTAAATGAATGGAGCTCGTGCAGCTGACGCATGCACAGATGTGTTTTCTCACATTTTCCAGCATGAAAGCCCAATTTTTGGCCCATTAGTTAGAACGGCGGAGATAGGCGTGACTACGTCTGTTAATATATAAAGTCCTATGGTCCAGCCTCATGGGGGGGGGGGGGGGGCCTCATGTGGGCGGCACAAAGGGGCAGTGGTTAGTACTTGTGCCTGACAGCAAGAAGGTTGTGGGTTCCATTCCACCTCCAGGCCTTTCTGTGTGGAGTTTGCATGTTCTCCTTGCGTCTGCGTAGGTTTCCTCCAGGTGCTCTGGTTCCCACTACCACTAAAAACATGTATGTATAGGTCTGACATGTGCCTCCTGTAGACGACCTCGCTCCCATCTCTGTGGAGAGAGAGACAAATGCCCACAACAATTATAAAGCTCTGTGAAAGGCGCTACATAAACAAAGTGACTTGTACTTTACGTGTGGGGTGGGGGAGCCCCGTGTTGGGGGTGAGAGAGGCACATACATCCACATGTTTAAACAGAATATCTCTCTTCAACATTCCCCAAAACTAAATAAATGTATAAGCAATAGATTGACCTTTCACATCATGTACTTATTCATTTATTCAAAATGGACACAACAGTTTTCAAGTGCTCTCAATCCAGACTTAAAATCCTTCAAACTCTATCTATTTTTACTCCGCACAGTTGGACCAGTATCACTGTTATCAATTATCTAAATCAGCCTGACGCCCAGAGCTGTGTCTTTTTGGCATGTTTCTAGTGAACGTTATTAAATCTACAACTCGATCTCTCATCTAATAGTATCGTATTGTTTTTGTGTGTTTTCGATGCCATTTTTTCCACCTCACTTACGGCAACACAGACACAGCCTCGAGGCAAACATTCAATTTGTCTCATCTCACTAATTTGTTTGAGACAGTGAGGGAGCCGGCTGCCAGCGCACACTTCCTCATGAAAAAGCCCGAGTTAGATGAGCCTGGAGAAGCGCTTGCTCACGCCGCTGTGGCCGTGTTAATCAATAGTCATGATTTATTCAATGACAAAGCTGTCAGGAAGCACCAGACTGTTAGCAAACGCATTATCGTCTGTGGCCTCAGAGACGGCCAGGGCGACCAAACTGAAGAGGTTTATTTATCTATTTTTGTTCATATCGCCCACCCCTACACATAACACATATTTGTTTCACATATTCATTACGGAGATTTTTGCTACATCTAATTAAAGATTAACCGAACGAAATTGTGTCCGGCCCTCCACAACAGGGCGATACCCCAAAGTGGCCCCCTGAGTACAATACAGTGAAGACCCAGGACAACAGGGACGTCTATGGACAGCGGGCCCTAAACTCCCTATGGTTTAGGGCCCACTGTCCATAAAAACATAGGTTCGAACTGTTTGATTCTCTGATCTGTTGTTTTGTAAAGTCCTTCAAGACGTCTGCTGTTGTGATTTAGGGCGATACACACATACATAAAATAGAATTGAATAAGTTCAGCGGCAAATATTGTTTATAACTGTCTCCATCTGGCTTTGATGCTGGTGATATTACCAGTGTCAGCTCGTATAGAAGCGATCTAGTTGGTCTGGAACCTGAGAAATAGAGCCTAATCTATGACTCTGGCTCTGGGTCTGTAGTTTTCCAGTGAGGGCTATGGTGGGAAGAAATATCCACATTTTTAGGGCCATCATCAAAAAATATGCTGGGGCAAATGTGGAGTGACGCTTATAGACAGGACCGTGACTTGCCATGATCATTGAAAGTCCTGGTATACGTTTCACAAACTCCACAGCTGTTATTTTTTGTGCAGATTTCCTATAGTTTTGTTTTCTATATGACTAGAAGAAGCTCGGGTCATTTCAGTCTCGTGGCTGTTTACACACAGAGGATCAACAACAGGACAGATCCAAGAGCTCTGTCTGGGCTTCTTCTTTTACTACAAGAAATGTATGTACCAGCAAACTAGCACCTCAAAGTGCTGAATAAAACAAGATAAAAAACAATCACACACGGCATTAATAACATCAATCATCACAGTACATAAAAAAATCCCTCAGTTGTTGCAGCGAAACATAACTGTTTTTTAACCTCAATTTGAACGTTGTGAGAGAAGAAGCCTGTCTCACGTTTTCAGGAAGACTGTTCTTCTGATTTTAGCTGCCTCCTCATGTTTGGTCCTCAGAGTCCCAGCAGGAGGCTAGTCCCTGTGCTCCTCAGAGTCCCAGCAGGAGGCCAGTCCCTGTGCTCCTCAGAGTCCCAGCAGGAGGCCAGTCCCTGTGCTCCTCAGAGTCCCAGCAGGAGGCCAGTCCCTGTGCTCCTCAAAGTCCCAGCAGGAGGCCAGTCCCTGTGCTCCTCAGAGTCCCAGCAGGAGGCCAGTCCCTGTGCTCCTCAGAGTCCCAGCAGGAGAGGCCAGTCCCTGTGCTCCTCAGAGTCCCAGCAGGAGGCCAGTCCCTGTGCTCCTCAGAGTCCCAGCAGGAGGCCAGTCCCTGTGCTCCTCAGAGTCCCAGCAGGACACAGATGTAGTTTGGTGCGAGGCCCTGGAGAGACTTGTAACAAACAGAGCTGTTTAAAGTCTATTCTCGACCTATTTATATTTTGTTAAATACATTTGTCAAACTGATTTGTTTATTTGATTATTTAAATGCTATATCCACAATAACGAGTGCAGTGTTCAGCGCCTGGCAGCTGTAGCTCTGCTCTCAGACTGAAGGAGACCTGGGTCCGTGCAGTGTTGTGTTAATGACACACACAGAGTTGTGTCTCTTTAAGGTTGGATTAGCGCTTGCCCTTCAGCGGCCGGAGGAAGGCGTTGGAGCCGGTGAAGGTGACCTGTGCCGGGGCTGCCGCGGTGCTGGCCTCTCAGGACTGCTCCAGGAAGAGCTGCTGCCATAGCACAGCCACCTGCTCATTTATCTGGAATGCCGCGCTCCGACTGCTAACGACCAACTCAAATTGGACTATTTTTTCCCATTTGTCAGTGCGCCAGCTGCAGCGCCTCAGCTGTGTGCGCCGGGAAGGCCGAGGACACTCCAACTTCTTCATTTTTATCACTTCTGCTCATTGTCAGAGTTTGGTTTGTTGCTCAGTGTGAGGTGCTCATCACTGCTGCTACTGCTACTGCTGCTACTGCTACTGCTGCTGCTGCTGCTGCTACTGCTGCTGCTGCTGCTACTGTTACTGCTGCTACTGCTACTGCTGCTGCTACTGCTGCTGCTGCTGCTGCTGCTGCTGCTGCTGCTGCTGCTACTGCTGCTGCTACTGCTACTGCTGCTGCTGCTGCTGCTGTTACTGCTGCTACTACTGCTGCTACTGCTGCTTCTGCTGCTGCTGCTGTTACTGCTGCTACTGCTGCTGTTGCTGCTGCTACTGCTGCTGCTGCTGCTGCTGCTGCTGTTACTGCTGCTACTGCTGCTGTTACTGCTGCTGCTGCTGCTGCTGCTGCTGCTGTTACTGCTGCTACTGCTGCTGTTACTGCTGCTACTACTGCTGCTACTGCTGCTGCTGCTGCTGCTGCTGCTGCTGTTACTGCTGCTACTGCTGCTGTTGCTGCTGCTACTGCTGCTGCTGCTGCTGCTGATGCGTCTGTGTCTCTTTGACATGATCAGCTTTAACAGAAACTTGGACCTGTCTAAAGTGGTTCATCTTAAACGGAGAATATTCTGTTGAAGTATTTCTCTGAAATAGATTAGCAGTAAAATAAAGTTCAGTGGAGGTCGTTCTGAAGCAGTTCTTTCTGAGGATTCCTTCCTTTTACTGGAACAGCTCCAACATGTGTGTGGCTCTTGTCAGTTATTGATGTGCTCGTCTTTCTGTGTCTGCTACAGTATTCTTCTGACAATGTTCAGGAACATGTCACGTTCGTGCGGAAGAAGCCTTTTTAATATAAAATTAATGATAAGTGCCGTCTCGTCCCTGTGATGTCACCTGCAGAACAGATGCGAGACTGAAATGTTGAGCATCTCGTTCTTCCGATACAATATTGGGTTTTCAAGTGTCAAGTGTTTGCCAAATATCGAGAAGACATATAATTAAAGATGCATAGTTAACTGTTAGAAAAAAATCATTGGCCTTAACTTAACTCTAATTACACAGAAAAAAACTCTAAGATGAATGAAAACATGCCATAGTTGTCCATCCCCATCAGCGCTGCAAGTTACTGTGATAATGATTATTGAGAATCATTTCAGGTGCCAATGTTCTCACAGGCCAGATTTCGAAATGCCTGGTTTATGGTTGGGGCTAGTATTTTAACATTTTTTGTCAAATCACATCTTCTCTTTCTCTCCTGGTTTCTCTTCTGTCTTTCTCTTCTGTCTTTCTCTTCTCCCGTCACCATGTGTAGGTTGGAAGAATGACATTATCAAAAATATAAAATGCTAAGGTCCAGTTTGAGTTTAGGCCCGTTGATCCTTTGGTGTCGTCTCTCTTTCTTCCTCACTCGCTCGTCTCGACTTGTTCCAAAAACTCCAAACCCGGTCCACTTCCCTCTCACCTTGCATCTCGACGATCACCTGGGGATCACCCGAGGATCCTTCCACAGTAATTAAGAGAATGTAAGAAAAAAGAATCATTAATTTTAACTCAAAAGATGAATAAAGCTCTTCTCAAGTTCAAGGAAAAGGCCAAGATTCTTTCTGCGTTCTCGAGGTGTTTACCAAATAATCCCACACAACAAGTCAGGCAGAAACTTAATTGTAACTAATGAGCTCCCTGGAGGTTGGGTTGGATGTGCGTTTCTTTATTCCCTAGTTCACCTGCTGTATGGAAATCTTGTCTTCGTGGTGAAAAGGGAAGAGGAGGAGGAGGAGGATGGGGATAAC